TTAAGAGAGTGTTAAAAGATTTTATTGGCTAAGTAAACTTTTCAAAAGGTCACGGATGATTAGTAGTGCATTGTTCTAAATATACCCAATGAAAGAAGCTAACTGAAAACCTCCTTTAATCCATGCTACAGTTCATAAACAGACGAAGATTATCTAAATATTCAAGTTCAAGTTATTAAAGATTTGAAGTATGCATGGTTAGGACTAGATAAAATTTCAACCAAGCAAGTTCACAAGGATTTAGAAGTGCGATACTCTGCGATATTTGATTGACAGTTCATATTTCAAGTTAACCAAGAAATTTAACCGATATCTACATTTTCTTGGAAACTGATTCGTGTTAAATAGCGGCATCGTACAAAGCCATGTAACTTATGGTAGCAAAAAAATTTATTTCTATTTTAGAACCCTAATATGTAAAAAATGTTTAGATTATTCAGCACAAATGCCCTCATGGCGTTTTTGTTTAAAAGTGCAAATCTGTATTGATTTTTCGGTCACCGCAGGTCAATAAAACAATACAACACAAGGTACAACAATCTAACAAAACATACTAGGAATGATTGATATACTCTTCAGGCGTTAGTGTGGGCTCGATTTGAGCTAAAAACTCCGTGAATATTGCGTCTTATTCATGTAACACCATACATCCTATTCAAAAATACTATTCAATTCCATACCACGAAAACTTAATTGCCTCAAGAATAAAACAATGAAATAAGCATATTCACGTGTTTATCATGTTGATTTCTCTTTTGATTGTCTCTTAACCTCAGTGGCTTTGCGTAATTGAAAATTTGCACGTATAAATTTTCTCTTAAGGAATAACATGCCTACTGCGTCTACGAATTAAACGCAATTGACCCATGTCACTGTTGTTTTGTCAAACAGTTGAAATCGTGAGGTAATGACCTAGCAACATGTCTCTTGCCAATTTAAGTACCACTGTTTTAAGTACGTCGATTACAAATAGAACACAGCTCCAATTTTCGAACCACAGATCGGTAGCCGGTAGGCATTTGATATCCCTGGATAATTCTGATCTGTCCGCTTAAAGGGAGAGAACATGAAAACAACAAGCAATTGCGCTGAGCAAAACGCTCTTTTCCTGTTTCTCGTGCATATTTAGTTTCCGACTGATCCTCTTTCGACAACAGGAAATTTATAATGAGTGAAAGCTGTTTTCCGCGCCAGGGGAGTAAATCTGTATTGTGTTATCATTTCCCACGGAATACTTTAGTATGCACTTCTTCGTTTCGCCAGATAACAGAAAAAAATGACCTTTCACCCTAAAAACAGCTGGAAAACCATCTTTGTGTTGTTTCTAACTACTGGCGGATTTTTCACGGCACTACAAAATTATATATCTGAGGGAGGCCAATACACGTTCGGATGTTTATCGGTGGGCACCAGCTGTACTGCTAACAGCTCGCATAATGAGCAATCTCACATCCTGCACGAGAACATAACATTAGCCGTTGGGGCGGGTCATCTTGTCTCGACTGGCCACTTAAGAGGGTCCAAAATAAAATAGCTTGCATTGCGTGAAAACTATCTTTTCCACGAAAAACGAGGTGGTCATGTTTATTTAGCGCTGTAGCTCACAAGGTATGAGGAGAGTAAAATACAAAAAGTGAAAATCAGGGAACTTTCTGACAAAACGACAAATTAGGACATTCAGAACAAGAAAGCAATGCAAAAACTTACGGCTAAGACGCTGTTTTTTGGGCATTAAAAATACACCTCGAAAAAAATGTGGCGAAAGTGATATGGATTCGAGGTGTTTAATTACCAATGCTTTCAGCAATAGATATGACGAGAGGTTACCGAGCTGATAAAACGATTTTTATCATTTCTTTGACGGAACACTTTCTGGCAATTAATGTTGCTGATGAAATAATTGTCTTATCGAGAACTGGTACATAATACATCACAAACCAGGAGACATATGGTTTTGTTGTTTTTTCCTGCTGCTTAATCCGCGCGGGAAAAAACAAATTTTTGTCCAGAAATGGCTCAAGTTGAGCATCAAAACAAACTGGTACCCGTATGTTCCCAGAGCAACGAGTCAATTAGTTATATCAATTTTGGCAAACAGGAGGGCTTCATCGCAGCATTATCAATATCGAATGGCAATCGATCCAAGGCGTTGATCAAGTCAAATCCCTATTTCAATACGAAGGGAACGGTTTTCAATTTCATAGTTGTACATTCAATATCTGGACCACCTTTCATACCAACTGGATTTGAGCTTTTGAGATATAACCGCGACTACGTAATTTCCATTCTTAAATTTTTATCATTGAAAAAAACCGAACCCGGGGAATATTTTTAACTTATGCCGAAAATAAATTTAAACCCATTAATATTGCGGTGACCTTGGTGGGCAATGTTGTTATGAAACACGTGTGCAAAGAGCTTTTCGCGCCACTTAAGTTAGGGAAAGCCTCTCGTGCGCATGCGTGTCATTATCGGTCGCGCAAAGTCCGCGCAAAGTTGTTTTAAGTGGAGTTAGCCAAAGAGCATGCGCAACAACTTCAAGAGGTATAACGGGCAGGAACGACGTAGACAAATAAACTTTAGCATTGACGATTAGGGAACAACTATCAATTAAACCTGCTTTGATCGCTGACTTCTTTCTGCCATTGCGACTTTTAGGGCCAGCTGTAGACTGGGCGGATGATGGTATCCAACGGATAAATCCCTATTCATAGGATAAGTAATAGCAAAACGTTATGCACCATCCACCGGATAGAGATTTATCCACTGGATAGGGTTAACCAACCTTCGAACAACCGGCCGGGCCTGGACTTTGAACCCAGGTGAATGAAAGTCAAATGAGCCACTCTTCCTATAATAATTTGCGATATTGGGCAGTCATAGAACTATTGGAGAAGACAAACTTTTGAGTATGATGCCGATGCCAATAAAAGTGGGGCTACTTTGGTGCAACTGCAATATTTTGCACTTGAAAGAGAAACGTTGCGTGCCTGCGCATCTGTTCGCTGTCAACGTGCCACCTTCACGCATACTTCATGTTTCTCTATTTCTGTTGACTATTAAACTGTACTATTCTTTGATATCAGACAAAAAAGAACCTATAATCAGCTTTATTAAGGAATTTTACAATTGGGTTGAATACGTCTCTCAAATATTATATTTCGTGAACTTAAGATGAATTCCAAACTGATGATATCGTTACAATCATGGCTTAGAACCTCTGAGCTGACATAGTGAAGGTCAGCTTAATTTTGATTGCCGTGGGAGCTGAGGTATTGTCTAGAACAGTAATAACGAAAATCCGTAAAGAAAACAACTTAGATTGATTGAAGGAATTCCCCGTCACATGAAGTCAGTTTAGTTTCTTTTATCTCGAACTGTTCCTGTCAATGAGTTACTTGTCTTCTCCCTGCTATATGTAATAACACGTCAGAAAATAACCGTTCAGTCATTGTACGCCAAATGCACTTTTTGAAAAGCATTTCAGATAACCATAGTCGCAGCGTCATGATGGCCATGAAAATATTGGAATTCTAATCTTATGTTTCTTTAATACGTGGGGTCAGTGGCCAGGAGCCGATTAAAATAATGCCCCCTCTAAAGTGATTAATAGTGAACTACGGAGAACCTTTCCAAACGTAATAGCAGTCATTTATTTTGGATATAATGGTTTAGATAACAAAGATTTAATATAATACGATTACGTACATACCGAGCATTGGAATTTTATTGTTGTTAGTAAGATTGATAGAGGGCCAGCTGGATTATCCGAAGAGTTTAGTGGTTATGATTATTTGTTCGAAAGGCAATAAACAAATTAGACAGTGTAATTATATATTTAGATATAACTTTGGTCCAATTTAATTATTGAGTCGTGAAAGCAATGCATTCAGAGAATTCTAGATTCGTGAAATTTCTGACTTGACCTGCAAGGCGGACAAATGCGTACGCACTCGATCAGAGCGTGGACTGGGCTCATTAGCTGAAGTGAAATAAATTGGCCATTATTCCAAACCCTGGATGAATTAATTGAAATGCCGAAATGTAAACTTGCCGACAACAAACTCGTCGAAAAATGAAGTCTCCGTAGCTGATTCACTGCTTCACTTTAAATCTTACCCTTCTATGGCGTCGGCTCGGTGTGCCAGCTACCACCTTTGGTCAACTCGCCGACCTCTTCGGTAACCTCGCACGCGTCCTTTGCGCTACGTGCAAATAAACGAATAAAAATAGGACATTTAAGATTTTATTTGTCTGGTTCACACAGGCTACTGGTTTGCATTAACTGCTGTTTGTTAAACGTACGATGCTTTTGATTTAATAAGTCAAGAGTAAAAAACATCACACACCCTACACTTACTCAAGTGTGTTTTTTTAAACCGCTAACCTGAAGCTGTTTTTTTAACCGGCAGCTATCGTTAAGACCGTTAAAAGAAAGAAAAAGAACCTAGTATAAAAATAAATACTTAACGCCATAAGCACCGAAACTAAACAATCTAAATTATTGCTTTGTTTCCTTCCTGGCTGCATTTTCCTCAACCTTAGTAACCAGAGTTAAAATCACTAAGAAACTTTGAAAGGGTTTTGTTAAATGATTTAGACGGCGAATTTCGTAATTCAATGTGCAATCGCTCTTTAAATCCAAAACTTTCAAAACGCGTAATATATCATTCGCTGCGACCTTTCAGTTGACCCATCTGAAATGGTAGAGCAAAATATTCCTATTAGTTTATCAGAATCGAGCAAACTGATTGTTATAAGGGTTTCTGGGAAAAAAAATGATTGGAAAACAATGACACTCACAATATTTTGCACACGTTACACTGTAAATTTGACTGCCGAGTTTGTTCTTCATTTTTCTGTATAACCCGTTAACAGATTGGGAAGACTGAATAATGTCTTTTTTACCCGACGAAAAACTGATAAAAGATCGAGAAGTGACTGGGGATGAGTATCGTTGAAAGAGACTGGGAAATATTTGAACGCCTGGTAGAATTTGTCGAAAGTCACCAAGTTTCGTTGTACGGACATTAAGTCAAATTTTACATGTACTCTGTATTTCCCTAAAAGACGACATGTCGCACAAGAAAGCGCTTAGTAAGTTTTTATTCTTTATTTTAGCGATGGGCACGCTAGTCATTTGGTCCACTTTGATTTTTAGCTGTTTCGACAGGCTTGAAACATCTCATTTCAGCGTTTGATGCTAAGATAAATTTATAGCTTTTCCAAATTCATGTGTCAGTGGATAAAAGAAGAGCAAGGAATTCGAAAGAATACACGAGAAACTATTCCCATCTAGAAAAGAAAATGTATTTCAAAGGGCGTTAAAATTTCACTGGATACTGTACTTACGACCAATGCATTTCTGAAGATGTTGTGGTAGTCAACATATGCTCGAAGTTTGGATAGAGGCCGTGTTTTTCGACAGACATGCACTATTTTCTACTTGTTTACTTCAAATATTTTTTCTGTAGCTTTGCTTGGCTCCAAGAGACCTATCTACATCCTTGCAACTCGATGTTTCTTTTCCACCGATTCTGCAAGCAAAGTTAGCAACTTGAAGGTATTTATTTCTATAATATCACTGAGATCAATAGAAATCGGCTGATAGGCTCCTGAACAGGTAACCTTGGTTGATATATCACTTACTGTAGTGGTGAACAGTTGACTGTTGTATATTGTTTGGTAGTCAATCAAATTATGTACCAAATGATCATTGGCCAGTACTGAAAGTCAATTAACACTTAAGCTACACTCAAATGATAGTCAGCCAGAGTCTCAAGAGCTTGTCTGCAGCAGCATGTCTATAAAAACATTGATCAACCTTTGGTCAATTAAGTTGATATTCAACCATCTATCAGGTCGATTGTCAATTGATTGCTAAGCAACACATTAATCAACTCTTTGGGAATATATCCCCCTAGGATACCTTTTGTTCATGAATTCCATTATTCAAAGGGACTCATTTGTTTAGTCATTAGAATAACTTTTATTACTGAATGACTTTGCCTTTTTAAATATTGTGCTTCTTATAACCCTATAACCCTTTCACTCCCAATAGTGACCAAGACACAATTTCTCCTTAAAATATCAACACGATCTCAAGTGAACAAGTGATAAGAATATAGAAAAATATAAATTAGTGGATTATCATTTGATTGAATACCAAATTCTCCAAACTAAAACTATAAGCAGTGTTTGGCAGATAGTAGGGAGAATTACTAAAGAGATCATGGCATTGAAAGGGTTAAGTGATATACAGGTTTATATTTAACTTCTTTCAATTTCGATACATTATATAGCAATCAGCTGGTGAGAATAAACAGATTATGTTTTCTTCGTCTATTTCAAATTTGGTCTTTATGAATTTTTTTTTATCAAGGCACTAGGAAGGGCACAAATATGTTTAATGGTCCAGCAAATCTTAGGAAATTCCACAGAAGGAAACACAATAAATCTTGCTCAAAAGATCTCTATTTTCTTTGTCAGGAAACATTTTGTAATGGGATAGAACTTTGCTAAGTTCTATATCTAAGCATGTATACATTATCAAATCTGTTGCAATCTGTGGCCTTTTGGCAATCTTTCCCACTGTTTTTTCTTTTTGGTTGACCTCTTTATCAGGCATAGAAGGCCTATGAATATTATGGGTGCAGTTGCTGGAAACACGTGATTTCCTTACATAAAAACTGTATTGTGTTAAACTGTTCTTAACTCACCTTTTCAGATGATTGTATCGAGCCACCATGTTTGTTTTGCATGGTGACACTTTTAAAGCTTGTGTATGTTTGCACCCAGATCCTATGGAGCCCTCTTAAACCATTTTAAGATGGATAGGTTTCTTTTTTTCCATTACCTTTCTGTTTAAAAAGGTATTTCTGTTGTGAGAAGAAATTTCATAATTGTCACTCCAAGGGGTAACAGAATTAGCACAGCTTTCTTCAGTCTATATAACAATATTATTGCTCTTCATTATTTTTTAGAACACAAACCACTTTGAGTTGGTTGAAATGAGTGGTTGGTCAAGGGTGGTACTGACTCCTGATCCAAGCACATCTTTGGCCCATTGTGTCAGTGCAGACTTTGACATGAGTGATGGTATCGCTAAGAAGTTTAAAAAGAAGTTTGGGAATTATCAGGATCTTGTCACAAAAGGTTTTGTTAACTTTTTCATGTTAATAAGGTCATGTGCTAAATAAAATTATGTTGTTTTCTCTCTGGAACCGTATAGTGACTTTTTTCAGAATGATAATTTTGTCCTTCCTGCCTTATTGAATTGTGATCTTCAACATTCCTTTATGAATGGGATTTGTGAGCAAGAAATGTCTATGCATCATGTCTTGCCATATGCCAAAGGGTAGGTAATAAGTAAGACAGGTCAAATTCATCTCAAGAATGGCCTTGATTACATTCACCAAAAAAATAGACAGAATGTTGTTCTGTGAAGCTACACGACTATACAAATATAAACTTCTGGAAATGATTTTTAGTAAGTCATGAAAATGCCAGAAAAAATGTCTCTGTTTGAAAGTATCTATGAACATTCCCACAAAAGGTCCCACATTTACCAAGTACTTTAATGTTAACAAAAGATGGATTATTTTTTTTTGTGAGGTTTGTTTTGTGGTGGCCACTTTGAAAACAAGTTTGAGTACAAAGTCTGAAGCAAAAGAGGATCACAGGTGTACTTGAATACCTATGGCTGAGTACTGAGCTCAGGGGTGAGAAATGTATGGAAACTGCTCAGTGCTACTGAGAAAGGAGTACTTTGTAATTTTTTTTATCTTTCTCGACAAGCGATCAAACTTTCCATAATTTCTTAACTTTCTGATAGCCTTAGACCCACACAAACTGTGCAAAAGACCTGGTTTGTCACCTTTTTCCCAAAATCACTACCACAAAACAGATATCACAAATCAAGTGTAGTGCCTTTTTCTTTTATTTATGAAAAGATACTTCTTCTGCATATCAGAGCATGTTGCACGCTACCCACTGTATGAGTCAGTTGTCCATTTCACATCCAAGTTATGTGCTGTGTTAAGAATGTTATACAGACTGTCCTATGCTCACAAGTAAATGTTTATAATTACAGGTCTGTATTTTCAAGAAGAAGGAAAAGTGGGTGACATTGCTGTGTTGGAGAGAAATGAATCAAGCTTTGTGTACTATTTGGTAAGTTTTTTGTTAAGGGAGAAATGCTTCATCTTGTCTCTTCTCTATCTGTTGGTAAAGTTTTACTTTCTTCACTGAGGACCTCTAAAACTTTTTTTCACTGCACCCAATAGTTTTCCTTTGGTCTTGACCCCCTGGTTAATTTTAGCATTTGTTTGAAAGAAAAGGGAATTGTAAGTTTTAGGATTATAGTAATAACAATTATGATAATTATAATGATAATAATGATAATAAAATATTCATTTATATGGCACTGTTTAAAGGTTCGATGGATGAGTTTGTAGATTAAAGTTGGTGACCTCAATCGCCTATTGGGGGCATAGTTGTGAAGCAGATCACGGATATGACGTGGAGCAAAGTTGTGTAGAGCCTTAAGTGATTAGAAGCAATTTAAAAACAGTACGATGTTCAAATGGGAGCCAAGGAAGCTTTTCAAGTAGTGATGTAATATGATCATATTTGCGACCACCTAAAATTAGGCGAGCTGCGCAATTCTGTACAAGCTGTAATTTGTGAATGAGACGGGAAGGAAGACCAAATAGTAAGGAGTTACAGTTATCTAACCTTGAAATAACAAAAGCATGTACTAAAATCTTGGCATGATCTTTAAACTCATACTTTCTGATACAATAAAGATAACGATTGTGAAAAAACAGGACTTGCAAATATCGGTGATATGGTGCCGATAGCTCAGCATGTTGTCAAACGTGACACCAATGTTCCGGGCGCTTTTGAATGGGAGAATAACAAAATCATCATAAAATCTAATAGGTAGAAATTTTAAAGGAGTTCTTAACTCTGATCATATTATCACGTTATTAACGAATTTTATGTCAAATGTATTGAAGGTCAAAAAATATGACACTTTACTTTCTTATTTGTTTTGACTGGCTTGCAGATCACCAGAGAAAACTGGTGGGACCATGCTACACCCTCATCAATGCGCGGCTGTTTGATGCAGTTGAGGAAGCACTGCCAGGAGAATGGAGTTGATAAGTTGGCTATTCCCCGCTTAGGGACTGGAGCAGACAGAATTGACTGGCCTTTTGTAAAGAGAATTGTAGAAGAAGTTTTCAAGGAAACAGACATTTCAATTACGGCATACACATACAGATAGTCTTTCCCATGTGACATAAATAATATTGTTCATTTACTGATATTAACCCTTTAGGCTACAATAGTGACCAGCATCTAATTTCTCCTAACAATATCATTGCCTGATCAAATGTACAGATCATGAGAATGAATGAAATGATTACCAAAGATGAAATGTCTTGATGTTTGTACAAATTCTCTCAATCAGTTAAATAAGAAACATATGGAGAACAGTGACGAGAATATATATATTTATTTAAAGGGTTAAAGAATCAAAGACGAGGCTAGAGCGAGAATGTGTGAGGTGGCCTGGGTTCTAAACATTAATTCGAGTCGCTTCACGTTATGGACGATGATATTGAAAAACATCTGAACTTCATTGTTCAAATTTGAAATTCTCTTGTGCAAAACATGCCCAAGAACTGCACTTTTCACGTTATTATTTCCTGTCTGTAGTTAGGTCGCATTTGAAAGGTTTGCCCAAAGACCTTTTAATGGATATATTTAAGGATTTAGATAACTAGATAATGAGTCCTTTGTGTCGTGCAAAATTTTCTTCTATATGGAGACCACTACATGTAGGACGCTTTTCAGTAGTGTATCTTAAAACAAAATCCGAAAAATCCCCTCGTCAAATTAGAGCATAGGAAAATATCCTAAGCGGCTAGTGAGAACTCAAAATGAAAACCATTGAATGGCTTGAAGTGCGTGAAAATACAAGTGATTAGGACAGGATTAGTGTTAGTTTTGCATCCGTTCGTTAAGTTCTCTTGACCAATAAAAGAGCGAAGGGGAGAGAAACCAACACAATCCTGGATAGCATTCAACAATTATTTTGTATGTAAGTTAAGACAGAAAGAAAACGCGAAAGTGATGGCCGCAAATCTAAAAACAAAAATGATAGCGACGAATGAAGAAGTTGAAACAATTAAAACGGTTGCAAATAGTTGTGATTGGTCAGTATACAAATGCCCTGCCAGAATCAAATTCTGAGTCTCAGAGCGAGAACCCGCAATATGTCCGCCCAAACGAGCTCTTCGTTCAGCCGACTTATTATTTTTTTCACCATCGGAATTGTTTTCTTAAAATTGACTTACAAGCCTTGATTCATCCTCAATAGTCTCGTGCTCTTCTAAAGCTGTGAGAAATCGGAACGAGATATAATGCCACGCAGTGATAGGAAACGATGGAAGGATACATCCCTGCATGCTCACAAACTTAACCCCACCCGCGACTTTGTCACACGTGTTTATCTGCGCTCAGGCTCAAGGCTGTTCACGTGTATAAACTTTGAGTTCTGGCTGGTCAATTTCGATATATGTGCCCGTACTCTTTGGATGTTATTATATCATTGGTTTTGGTAGTACAGTTACGACACGTTTTTAGACACGTTTTCAGTTATAGAAACACATGGTCGTTTCTTTTTTTTTCTGCTTACTTCTTTAAATATGGTTTTAAACGAAAGGCCTCAGTTATTTTTCGATTCTTTGTTTCGCCGAACAGGTGCCAGTTTCGTCGGCGGAAACCCTAAAAGTAAATAAAACCTTTGTTTAGACACGTAATTATACATTTAAAGTCAAATTTATGGCCTGTATGATTATACAGTGGATTCCTCTCTTATAGAGTGAAAAAATTTTTAAATGCCTTGTTTCACGCATCTCGGTGTTATAATGAAAGGATAAAATGCCTAGGAAAGGCCGGTTATTTAAGGTATCTTGTTGGTGATGACGAGTCGATGGCGGTCTGTCGGAGGATCTTGAATTTTCAAAATATTGCTGAAAAGAAAAGATTTTTGCCAAAAGCTTGAATTTTTAACATCTCATCAAAGAGAAGTTCAGACAGATCTTGTCGTCACTATGGGGAATCAGGTTGGGAGAGAGGGAAGAATGTCTTACAAACAGCTGATGCGGTAAATCTTCAAGCCGCACATTTGCAACACTAATTATTATTTTTCTTTGATATATTGTTGTAATTGAAGTGGCCTTTACCATGATCCTGGTGGTTTCTTGAGGTCTAATTATAGTTCTTATTATGAATTAGTATGCTGTAGATTAATTTTTTTGTGTTGTTAAAAAAATGATGATGATGAAAAGTAGTAACTCGTTAGCATTGCGAGGATACAAAACAAGCGTTTTAATGAAGTCTGGCAACATTTTGATGTAAAAGAGTAACTCCCTTTACGTTAGAAAGTCAGGCATTTAAACGCGCTGACTTGGCCTCTCTTTGTAAAATTTTCTAATCTCTCTTCGTCTATCCTCGCTTATTCTGTCTGTTTTGAATCGAGGATATGACTCATTTTATTGCACTTAATGGTGGATATAGACAACTAGAGGGCAAAACTCCCCGCTTTTGACATAAAACCTACCGTTAAAAGTGCTAAAATCTGAAATCTGAATGCCTCTAAGTTTGTTGCGTGACCTGCATGAAGCTTTCCCGAGAGGGCCTGGGAATGACTTAAAGTTCACGTGTTGGTCAGTGACTAGCAGAAACACGTGCCGTCTATGGGTCGTGTGACCACATCTATGCTTTGGGTAAATGTCATAACCAACCCATCACTAGAGAGGTTAAGTCACATTCTACGCTATAGTTGAGCAATGGAGATCTTCGTTTGAAGTGTAGCCCTTTTGCGGGAAAGTGCGCCAAACATTTGTCTTACCGACACTGTGTTAGTCGAAATATATCGTAATGTTTTCTTTCGGAAAAAGTAAAATTTAGGCGATCCAAATAGCAAAACTCAGGGACAAGGCAGATCCTACACTACCATTAAAACAAACTTTAATGCACTGTACACTTTTCGCGACCATAAATTCTTGCTTGAAATTAAGTTTAAAATCTTTGCTAGTGGGGTGTATATTTTTCTTTAAAAATCGTTCTTCCGGTCACGAACGGCCGTGAACTTTAGCAGAGGCTTGGGAGTGAATTGACGAGAGAAATCAACACGAGTATCGATCATCACGCACACCGGAAATTATACAACTCAGCTTAAAACTCGAATGCAGAGTGAGGATCTTTACTTTAATTCATAAATTTTTAGTCCTTTAGGTCTAAAATGGTCGGATTTTCATTTATAGAAACGATTTGCGGCTACTGGTATAATTTAGTACACCAGTTGATAAGCTGTAGCTTAATTTTAACTATCACTTGCTTTGTTATATAACGAAGGTGCAAACCTGGACGCGTGTTCTGAATTCAAGTCTCGTGTTTTTACGAGAACATGTGTAGTACAGGGAATTTCTTTACGCTTGACGACCTTCATATCTTTGATGTCTTGAAATCGTTGTCTGAATTATCTAGAAATTCTGTAGAAACTGAGAGTCACAGAAGCAGGTTTTGCCATCAGTCTACGGATAAACTACTAAAGAACTCTCTGTGAAAATAATCTTACTATTCACTTCCACCACGGCTGATATCACTAATGTCAACTCCTCCAACGATGAGTCGGGAAGTTCTTTCCGTCCTTCGACGCCGAAAAAGAACTTTGGTAAAGGTAACCTGAAATCTCAATCAAACGCCAGGCGATCCGTAAATGTTGTTATGGAAGATTTATCGAATTGTTTAAACGATTCAAGGGTCAGTGTTTCCAGCGACACTTCCGAAAACAGTTTTAGACCATCAACTCAAATGAAGAGTCTCGAATCAAGCATTTTAAAATCACAGTCGAGCTCCAAACGATCCGAGTTTGCTACTCCAGATGATGCGTTAAGCTCAAATGGAGATCAGTCACAGTGTGGAGAAGGAAACGAATCATTGTTGGTACAAGTAACAGGACTTAAGAAACAAAGGGACCGAGGGGTAAGAACCAATTTTTAGGAGTTATGAACTATGAAAAATATAGTTGTTTAGTTTTGTAACCTGTCGTCAGTTTTAACGTTGTAATAATGTTTGAAAATAATGTTCAAGTTTCTGAACAGATTTAATGATCGTTGTGTAAAGTTTGGTGGTATTTGGCACAGGATACCAATTCGGAAGTGTATAGGGCCGACGGGTGCAGAACAGGACATTCTCAGTAGAGTTTCCCTCACATCCCACATCTGACGAAATTATTTTCCAATCGATTGAGTTGAGAGGAAAATAAATTGATAACGTTCCGTCATTTTCAAATTTGGTAATATCTGTTGGGAGATCATCTTGCCTAAATTTGTTTTCAATATCATATAATTTTATTATCTTTTTATTTTATTTTATTTTTTGGTTTTACATGTGTATCCGAAGTCCATTGTGCAGGATTTTTTTTGGGAATTCCCAATTACCTGCATATCACTTAGTAAACCATGGCAGAATATTGTACATCTGTGTAGCTTATGAGGCACGATGGGCTAAGATTCTTTACTATTCAGATGTGTCTTCTGTATCCCAGCTGTTGGTCACAATATAATTTTTTTTAAAATTGAGTTTTAATCCAAAGGGAGGAAAAAGAGTAAATTTCAAGCTAAATGAAGTTGGAAAGATGTATTAAAATAAAATTAAGTGAAATCAATTTTGACCCCAAGGGTAAAGAAATAATTACTGACTCCCTTTTTTTCTTTCCAGTTTTACTTTATTTGCTAAAACTTGAAATGAATATGTTGGGTGAAGTGATATAGGTAATGAAAATGGAATTTTTGGAATGTGGAATTTGTCTCTTTGTAGTCTGAATGTTCTCACAAAGTGATTGAAAAGAGGCGCAGAGATCGCATCAACACATCTTTGGGGGAACTTTCCCAGCTGCTTCCAGCTCAGTGTAACAGCAAACAGGTATGTTGTGGGGGTTAATATTCAATTTATGCAAGGTATTCACAACTACTGGGAAGGAAGGGAAAAAAAACGTGAACATGAGGTGGTAGAAAAGGGATTTTGAAGGGACTTGTTTGATGATGATCATACCAGACTGAGATAAGTCTTGTCCTTGTAACGGTTATGATATTTGGTAACATATCTCCCTTAATTTATGAGCTCCTTTCATTTGCTCTCCAGGATCTCCCCATGCAAAGAATTAGTTTTTGCAAACAGTTTATCTCTGTTGAATTATTATTAGAATGATATTTATAGTTGATCACCTGTTGGCTGTATGAAACATATGAAGATAACTTGTTTTAGCAATTGGCTTTTTTTCCTTGAAATCAATACCATAGGGATCAGGCAAGCTTGAGAAGGCAGAGATTTTGGAGTTGACTGTGGAGTACTTAAAGGCTCTTCAAGGTCGTCTGGCCCAAAAGCAGGATAAAGAGATCAAACCAGAAGGTGGGTTACATGATTATAAATTTGTTGTAGCAACTAACTTGCTAGCTATGAAGCCCTTCATTACTACCTCTTACAGATATCTGAAGAATTATTTGTGGCATGTGTCAACCTTAACTTTTTTGGTTATTACACCCTATCTGCTTGAGGGATGGCCTTTTGCATTTACTCTAAGAGCATGACAAGCACTGATGATGCAAGACAATGAGGATGTTTCGGGAAGTTATGCATCCAGGCATACAGTGCAAATTCAGAAATATATCATATGGGCTACAACTTTGTTTTAAAACAGCTTCAGAAACTTTATATTTTGCTCAATGAAAAAAAAAATTTCCAATTGAAATTCTTTTGTTGATGTGAATTTCTTCCGTTGAACTGTTATGCAATGAAGGGGCCATGAAATTTGAATTTTTCCCAGATAATATTTGAATGTTTCTGATTCATGATGAAAATCTCCCTGTTAAAATTTGTTAAAAATATATGGGTCACTGCACTCAAATAAACTCTTCCCCCATTAGGCAGCACACCTGAGTTGCCAAAAACAGGAAAGGAACAAATGCAGTTTTGACAAGTTATTATTTATGGTATTGATTTTTGGTGGTTAAGTTTGATGCTGGGTTATCCCCCACAGAAGCGTTCCTTTACTTTGATTAGGAATTACCAAGTCAAATTAATAATGTGCAATTCCCATGACAATATTGTGCAATTCCAGTTTTTCACCTGTATTGGGCTACTTTCTATACATAACCCATGACTGACATGTTTTTTCGAGCTGGCAATCAGGGTGGGTGTTTTCAATCTCTTTTTACATGTCATACCTGATGGATTCTTATATTTGGCTGGAATAAAATGAGTTAAGTGTAAAAAGAAACCGAAGAACATTTACTCTGTAACTAACTGATGATCTTGTTGACTTTATTCTTTTAGATGATAAAAATTCAGTAGAAGCCACTGCAGAACCAAAGAGCAGCAGCACCAATACTGAAGTCAAGCCTGTCAATCACTTTGGAGGGTACAAGGACTGCACAGAAGAAGTCTTCCGTTTTCTGGTCAATGTGGAAGCTATGGACATGCAACAGCCTTGTTTTCAAAGACTTATGGCACATTTAAGACATCAAATCCAGTTGTTGGCTGAAAATTCATCAAATTCAGAAGATGTGAATCCCAAAGGAAAGGCCAGTACAGAGAATGGAAAGCGCAACACATCAAAGCGAAGCTTTCAGGGTACTATCTCATCATCATCATCCACATCATCCAGTATGGGTGAAATGAGTGGAAGTGGGAGTGGTGGGAAAGTCAAGAGAGCCAGACTTCATGCACATCATAGCAGCAATAACAAGGTACAGAGCGGGAGCAGCAATGGGAACAGTACATCAGGTGGCAGCAGTGACAATGATAACAACTCAGACAATGCCAGAGAAACCCAGAGTGACTCTGCAATATGTTTGGAAGATGACCTTTCAGAGATGCCAGGAAGTACAGGAAAAGAAGGTGACAATGGCAACAGAACAAATGGCAGCAGTGTCAGCAGTGGGACTACAAACAGAAGTGCAAATGAAACTAGCTCTTCAGCTAATACATGTCCCTCTATGCTTCCACAAGGAGGGAACATTCCACTGCGTGCTCCATTTGTACTTCCTCCATATGCAGCTCCAACATATGCACTTCATCCAGCTGGTACCCACTACATTCCAATTGTCTTGCATCCTAGTGTACCTGTACCTTCTGCATCAACATTTAATGGTGCTGGACAGATTCCATTTGGGATGATGGCATCAGGGATGATGCCCCCAGGAGTAATGCCCACTGGAATGATGCCATCTGCAGCAGGTGGAATTCCTCCCAACCTCCCATTTGGTTTCCCCTTTTCATATGTTCCTCCAGCAATGCCCCCTTATGGATATCAAGCACCTCCGATGGGTTTTCCTTTCCTTAATGGAATGAGGAAAGATCTCTCAGGACAGGGTCAAACAGACCCAGGCAATGGGGACAGTGGCTCTAATGGTGATGACTGCAGCATTGAATCACGCATCTCCCCAGAGAGTATTGCTATTCAGACAGATACACCTTCACCAAGTAATTCTGGTAATGAAAGTTCACACACTGATGAAGGAGGAAGTTGAGGTTTACCAATTTAGACTGAATGATATAAACTGTAAAATTTTGAAAACTTATGTGAGTGGGGTTGATTTTGGTGGAATTTCATGACAGCAGCATAATGGCCAAAAAAAATTTTATCTTAAATTAGTAAACATCAATGAGAAGCTAAGTAAATCATAGAGTTTTTGGAGTCTTCTCCCCAGAGCCCTGTACTGATATCTCCTGTGTATGCTGATTGTATAATAAAGAAGCCAGACCATAATGTATGCTACAACTGAAATCTTTTAAAAATAGTACAGTTACAAGCTGTAAAGGGGGCTATGTACAAATGACGAGGATGCACGTTGAAGCTATTGTATTAGCTACTGAAAATTTAGATGGATAACTGTTCATCATCATTCTTTTTCACAATAAAAGGCTATTAGTTTCATAGGGCATAATGAAGAAGTGGGGTCAATAGTTTGGCACCTCTCAAGCCAAGTTTTACTCCTGTGTATGTGTGTATAGCTATAAATAGTCAAGCAAGGAAACTGAAAGTGTGTACAAGAGTAAGTGAAATTAGTTGAGCTTTTCCTATTCAATCCTTCACAGTTCCTATATTGCTCCAACTATGGAGAATGATTTAATAAGGGAAAATTTAAGTTCTGGAAGAATATCGAGTGTGTTTCAATTTTTTCATGACCATTACTGGCAGTTAAGTTTTATTTGTTTGACTAGAGGGTGAAGAATTTGGATGATTTGCCACAAATGTCTAAACCTATCTGTCTCTGTGAGCAGTAAAACGTTTGCCAGTAGGATTTAAATCTTAAGCTATTAATATTAGTATTTAAGTTTGCTTCACAGAAGTATCCCAGACCTACCATGAGTACTGAATGGGATAGATGAATACTGGAAAGGTTCAAGGTTTTTCTGTCTATCAGTGGGAACAGTGATTTTGAAAATGTCACCTCTCAATATGTGGTTTGAATGGGTTGGTATAACCATTGTAAGTTAAAAACAGTTTCCCAACTTTCCTTCAACAACTTGTAAATATGAGAAATGAAGCAAATTAAAAAAGATTTGATGTAGTAGTGTGTTAATGTTATTTTATAGCTATATTGTTTTCATAAGCCACCTGGTAGGGTGATACTTTGTGTAAAGAGGTTCACATGTCCTGCTCATGGGAAAAACATTTTTTAAAGTTTGGAATAAAAAGTTGGTCTTTGTGAACACAGGACAGGAGTTTACTTCAAGGTTGCCAGTTGAATGAAGGCTATTTCAGGGCGTGAAATTGCGCCTAATACAGGCGCCAATGCGACTAAATTTTTCACTTTGGCGACCAAATCCTGAAAGTTAGTCGCCAAATTGGCGACTAGAACGTTTCATCATAACCTTACCAAGAGATATAGTGAATTAAAAAGATTTGCAAAGATAAATCCGCGGCAAACTTCCTCGTTAAGTTTGTTTCCAAAACGTAGCACATGCATCTCGATCGATAACTAGACGTCATCTTGGATTTAGATGAGCCTGAACGTTGTATATCATCCATCCTAGTGTCCACTTTGTAGCACGTTAAAGATCTTTTCCCTAACTTAATTTTGGAGGGTCTATCTAGAACGCTGACAGCGTAAAGAAAGATTTTGTGTCTTTGAAAATGGCGACCAACTTTTTTTGAATTGGCTACCACTTTGAAGAATTTAGGAGCCAAGTGGCTATCAGAAAAAAAAGTTAATTTCACGCCCTGTATTTGAAGAGATATATACAAGTTTCAATACATATATACACATATAGTTTCAAAAATTGAAGTTAACTAACATATCAAGACTATTGATTTACAGAGTTACTGTAAGAGGCTGGTCTTTGAACTCTATCTATGTACACCATACAAAGTTTGCACCATACTTCTGATACACTGCTTGACATAAGACCAAGGTCCATTGACAACTTTTGCTTTTGGACCCCAACAACTTAGTGTTTTTGGTGCTCCCCTCATCAAGGACTAAGAACAGAATCTAGCAAGTTAGAAATCACAGAAGTAATGTTTGGTGCATTCCTTAAAACTGTGTTGAATATAGTGTAGAAGTACTTGCTAAAACTTCAAACAATAGTTTTGTTTTTTTGCCTGTTTATTTAATTTCGTTTGTAATATTTTCTGTTTAAACAAGTAAAGGGTGAAAATCGTACTTGGAGATTTGCAAAACATATGAAAAAAATTAATTTATATAAGCTCTGACTGGGTATTTATTTTAATTTCTTTCAGTAATATTTTCTAGTAAGCTGTTAAACTATGGAAATAAATTATTTATATCATACTTGGACACTTGGAATAAGCAGTGACGGTCTTTCAAAGGCATTTGTATACCTTGCTCTGCCCTTTGTAAAAACTATCTTTAGTTTATCAACATTACAACCATTTTGTCATCTTTATGTTCACACAAAATTGGTAATGCTTACAAACATTTACAACTTGAATGGTAAATGGTTATCGTCTGACATCTTTGAATGCAAACTACAAGAAATGGGTACTGAATGGAGAACATTTAAGAGAGGCATACAGGCAAACTTTCTGTGTAACATGAAAAACAATAAGCAAACAAATTTTTGTCTCCTGGTTTGTCTTGTTCTTGTTTCTACTAGAACAGTCTTTGGTAGTGCACTGATACTTAGTCAGAGAGACGAGAAACAAAAGATAAGTTGTTGCTTGACAAGTTATTTACCAAAAGTCTTGAGTTGTATACAAACCTTGTTTCCAAGTTCTCTCCTCTTCTTGCTGTAAGAAGAGGGAGAAAAAAATAGGGCCAGAGCTTCAGGGAGATAGGAAGAAGCCACACCCTTGGAACAATGTTACTATTTGTTTGTTTGATCCAGTTGTTTTGACTTGTATACAATCACTTTGACTGAGGGCCAATATCAATGATGTGACACTTGGTCAATATATTAGTTCACTGAATATGACTAGAGCAAGAGACCTTCAATTGCCTTTGCAAAATGATTTTTCACACAGCTACTTGAACAGGGTTTTCTACATGGGAAAGGAGTTGGAGTCTTACATAAGCTCTCATCTGGCATTGGGTCCATATCAGGCTGATGTATTATCATAAATTAACACTTTTTCCTCTTACCTATGGTCCTCCTCCCCTTTCCCTACCCTTTATCAAATGTGATATCAATACTCTATGGTTTTCACTTGTGGTGGAATTGGTGCAGCACAGTTCCTGACATACAGCCTCTTTGAGGTAAGGTCCACAGGCATCTGTTCCTTTGAGAACAATCCAATACTTATATAAACTGTCTGCAAACTTGATGCTGCTGAATGAATGACAGGTCTTCCAGGAAAATGCTACTAGACTATGTATAGATGCTTCATTATGTGATAACTGTACACCTCTGACAGGAATACACGTATGTTCTGGAAATCAGCTAGTTTCAAACAAATAGCTAACATTTTCCAGCATAAGAAGAGTGAATGAGTTTATCTGTGCCATGGCATCAAGAGAAGCAGCCTGAGATTTGGACCACACCAAGTTTGGCCCAAACACAATAGCCAGGTTCTTTGCTGTCATTTTATTGACAGCAGAATGTTCCTGTACCTGTTAAGAATGGGAAAAGAAGTTTAAACCTACATGAAGCTGAATAAAGACTGTACCCTGTGGCATCTTATATATCTGATGTTACACTATAATTACATCAAACACAGTAACATAGTAGATGTCTTCGCTACCAAGAACTCACCAGTCTTAAAGAATAAGAAATAAGGTAGAAATGTCTTAGTTACACTGGTGTAACAGCTCTTCAGTCACCTAATGGGTTGTAGCAGTTGTTACAAGTACTATAATGCAAGTTCATTGCAAATTTATTCATTCTTTTGTATAGTGACAGAAATTAGCTGGGTTTTTTTTGGTTGCTGTATAGTATATACACCTCAGTATTGGTGAGATTGGAGGATATTTATTCATTTAATATTTATTTATAACAAGTTCATTGCAAATTTATTCATTCTTTTGTATAGTGAAAGAAATTAACTGGAGGATACACCAGTTTATTCATTTAATATTTATTTATAACAAAAATGGTTAAACCAAATTAAGAACAAAAAATGAATTCGAAAATCATTTCACAAACATTTATCAATTTTGGTAACACATGAACACCAACCTCATTTAAAAACTGCATGAGAAATTTTAACAAAATATAGTTCTCTTCTGCTAGCTCATGGTGTAAGATTCGCCACATCTGCTTTAACTTCTCGGTTTCCCCGGGAATTGCTAATAGTTAGACAAGACATCAACAAAACACAAACAAAAATAAGTACAAAAATTTTGACTTTTAGTTAAAAAGTATATCTGTTTCAAATTATTGCAATTCAGACTTCAGGTCAAATTAAATAACCACTAGATAATTACAATGTGTTTTGAAAAAACATTTGTACATTAATTCTGATAAATCAGAAAGATTGTGACTTACTGGTGCTTTGAATCACTGTATCATAGAGTTTAAATGTTAGAATCGGCTCTGGAAGTTCTCTTAAGAATCTCTTTATAATAACTGCTGCACAGTGAATGTCCTCTGGGTTTTTATAATGCACTGATAAACCTAAAATTAAAAAATTAACCTGCTCAATTGTCAAAGTATAAAAATCTTCATGGTAATCAACAGTCTCAACTTGCTAATATAAGCCCTACTTAACTTACTACTTGCAGTACAACTGCATTTTTTATTCAATCAGATGTTTTTCCATTAATTTGATTTTGGCTGATTTTATTAAAGATTTCCTCCAAAGTTGCCTTACCATGAAGCAATAGTTGCAGGTACTAGCTTATAGCCTCAACTTTAAGTAACAGGTTGCAGTTGAAACTGTCTATCTCAATTGAACACAACATAAGTGGACCAACCATAACATAATAATATATTTAGTACTAGTTCATGATTAAGGTATTTACAGGTTTAGCCAAAGAATGGCCAATTTGGAGAATTTTCTTTTTATCTAAAAAAACTACCAACATAATCATGTACCTTTGTTGAACATTTGAGTGATGTCTTTGACAATTGCTATGTTGCCAGACCGTCGGAAAATGCCCTCAACCTCAAGTGCTACAGAAAAATCAGTGTGATTGTTAGAAAATGGTATTTCTAATAGAATTTATGAGTAATAAAGAGTTTGGTTGTTCACAAATTGATATCTCTGTTTTGATAAGTTCACAACCTAAGGAGAAGGATGATTATAAAAAAAAAAAATAATAAAAAATATAGGGCAACCAAAATAGAAAAACTCAGCATGACAAAGTTGTGAGTAACTTAATGTCCTTAAAGGCAGGTAAACTGTACAATTTCATGCAATCACCTCAATAGCATTAAGTTACATTTGTATATCAATAAGTCAGAGAAGATTCCTGGTTCTACACACAAATTTCATTTCATCCTTACCAGTTTCTCTTAAAAATTCCACTGATGTAGACACAACAGGTGGGATACACTCACCATTGTTGTTTTCTCTCATCCTGAAACAACAGAAGAATTATATATGAAGGTAAAGAGCAGCCCCTATGAAAATCTTTTTGCCTTTTAATTTGACCATACATTGTCTCCTTCTCAAAGAGCACATAGCACACAACCCCAGCCAAGGACCTAGTCTAGAGCTGGTAGTCTAGAAATAGAGCCCTTACTAGTGGGCTGT